CTTATTCTACTATAATTGAGTCATTTTTAGTTTATTAACCGCCTTATTATTAATTTGTTGCTTGCGTATTTAAGTTTGTCACATGTTAAAATAAAATGTTTTTCGTAGTAGCTTACTTTCATAAGGCTAATCCCGCGTCTTAAACGCATCCTCAATGTCTTAAGGACATCAGGATGGTCTTATTATATGCATCAAAAATGCACTTGGTTTACACGGGAAAAGATATTCAAAGTGCCTTAACTCAACATCCATGATGTCTGACCAAGATGCTATGGGTACATAAAATTGGAATCCAGCCGCTTTCGTTAGGCGTCGCAGCGCGTCTTTCACATGGAAATTTCATAATACTGATCAAAAATGAAGTCATCTTTGACTCGCGTGAAGTACATTTTTTATTCGAAACTGCACCTATTTTTTCACAGTGTACTTAATGAGAAATTACGAAAATTAAAAGAGATTTTTTATATCGTTTTTTCTATATATATTCTTTCTAGTAATTATGATCACTATTACTTTTTGTGGGATAATTATGATCTGTCCGTGCAAATTACACGAAATAACCAGAATTTGATATACACCGGGCTTCAGAAGCCGGCTAGTAGTCTAGGTGAAGTGAACAATGTCTTCAGAATATTATACTTAATTACATATGTGAAAAGCAGAAAACGAAACGTGTTTTTAACGAGTACTGTGCATAGAGTGAACATCGTGAATTGTAAATGCATTTCTGTTCATTAAGATTATATGACATTAGAGCTTTTACAGAACAACTACTCAACATCGAGTTTACAATATATCTGTAGTATATTCAGTAATAAAAATAAATTAGATTTAAAATTAATTAATGACATCTAACGTTTATTTTCATCATCACCATTCAGGTGATCCGCAATCGAGAGATATTTTATAAAGAAAGATCTTGACTTAGAGTAAAACAAATATTTAGTTCGTATATATATAGTTTAAAACTTTGTACAATTCTTTTATTCAAACGTCGTTCGACCGCTCGTCTACTTTGCCGTTGAGATTTAAAATGCGTCGTTGATATTTGATTTCTTTCAATGTCATTACATGTCGATGTTGGTAAGGCATGTATCAAACGCCAAACACTATATGCATAATAATGTATACAGAAGCCAGAGCAAGAAATACATATCTATCAAGCCACAACCAATAACTGTTAGGTATAATTTGTTTGAAGTCGTTATGACTAAAAATGAGTGAACCGATAATAGCATGCCAAACGCTGAGCGCACTGAGAACAAACATGGATAAAATTGCGTACGTGTCCATTGTTGTCAAGTAGGCAGTAAGACGCTGCAAATAGAGAGCGAGAAAAGATAGGACAAAAAGTAATATGAGAAAGTAAGAATATACGAATCACCAAATGGCTAACGATGATTGTCCATCGGAAAGCGATTTGACTGAGAAAAAGGGTGCAAGCGATGCTAAGATGTTGCTGAGTTGCAATAGGCAGAAAAGTTAATAGAGATGACAAAAAATAGCAAAAATGGAAATACTTCCTAACTTGTTTTCTGCTATGCTTTGCTGCACTGCCTTAATTCTTTCCTCCGAAATAACATTCAGAAAGTGCCCTCATTCTCAGCCATTAAAGTAAATTCATCAGCGCTGATGTTTCCAGTTTCATAAAACTTGAGACGTGTGTTTCCGCGAAACTCGTCTATACAACTGTTATCCGTACAATAGCATATACACTCTTACTTTAGCTGACATTTTGCATAAAATAGGAAAAGCTACCGCCTGTTAATGAACAGGATTTCTTAGCTCGAAACTTATGCCGGCACGAGATATGAGGGCGTAAAAGTCTAGCGTGAATTACTCGGGAAGCGCATATATTAGTGAGTCAGGGCTTTAGTCACTCCAGAGAAGACATCGGCGGACATTAATTTATCTAAGATTCGATGGATCAAGTAAAAGTCGGTGTTGGTCAACTTTCGGCTCGTCAGGTAATCGAAAGCTACAGGCTGAGACCCCAAAATTGCATAGAACAGCAGAGATAGTATTTCATTCGTCAAATAAAGAATCAAAGTGAAACATTCTTTTTTACATCACTCTCAGTATGTTCTCCAGTGACTGACAGTATGACATCATTCTTGACTCGTGGAATGGTGTATATATTGATAGTCTTCTTTCGAATGATGACGTCGAATTTTGCTCGATGTTGAATTTCCAAGTTATTCATGCTAGACTTCGCCACTTTTGCATTAGGTGCTGCATTATTTTATTCGGTTTCAGTGAAATAACGAATTTATAACGATTGAAAATTAAAGGTATTCAAGGAACAGCCCCATCCTTACTAACTAAAGATATGGAAATTAAGAATCTTTTCTGTACTGCACCTATTGCCTTGTCAGTTTCTCGTCCTTTGAAAGAACTTGTTATCTCACAAAAAGTAAAGATACAATTGGTAAGCTAATTTCAAACTTAATTGAAACACGTAAGCTTATCGAGTGTCGAGCCCAGTTTACCACAGACATCACTTTCATTGTCTCATTTATCTGTGTGTGATACACTTACTCAGTAGTGATGGCAAACGCACTGGAAGCGATGGCAGTAAGGAGAAAAACTATGCAATAGCCATTCCAAAAAAAGTACTTGGATCGACGCACTATATGAAAACAAAAATATAATCCGCTCGTTTCATGGATTCTTTCCCACTTCACTCACATACATGACACGAAAAGGTTAATATACTTCTTTCCTTCTCTTTCCCTGGTTTGTGCAATTCGCCGTCTGCATCCGTCGTTGAAATAAAGCCTCTAATAGTGTTCGAATTTGTCTCTACATGTTTGTACAAATGCCATTCTTGTTGTGCTCCGAATAATTCCTTGTTAATACCCGATTCTACGTGAGGATGCGCCACTAACCGTCACTGGACAGGAGTTGGTAGTAGAGAAAAAGTGGACTGACCTTACCACAACGCGTCATCTGTCAGAGCATGAAAATTAAACAATAATAGAACATTTTTACATTGAATCGAGCCTATCCCAAGCCCTTGATCTGGCCCAGTTTGAGCCTACCCAAGCCTACCCTTTTCCAGCCTAAAGTAGGCTCGAGCCTACCCAGGCCTAATGGCTCCGCCGCCTATATGTACCAATAAAGTCAAGAAATAGGGTTGTCTATAGTTTTCATGTACGAAACAAGTATTGTGATGGATTTTCATGAATCTAATGTTTTTTCAATTATTTTTATTATTTAAACAAATAAGATACGTGATTACAACATGAAAATATTGGGATATAAATAATTTAAACTCAACAGATGCGAAAAATCTGTTGGTATGAAAGTATTTTCTTGATTTCATTTCGAAACGTTTTCGATATGATTAAATTTGCATAACAACTAATACAAAATGGAATAGTAGCACTAAACTGACATATATTACTACTAATGTTTTCTATCTGCGTTCGCTCAGCATTTTTAACGTAATTTTGTGTTATTTGTTGATAGATGAGATAGATTGCAAACGCCAAACTGCATAATGTATAGGTGATGATATCTATAAGTAATATAAAACAAAGTTGGCGATCTTTTGATGAATTCGAATGCGGACCAGTGCCTACTGTCGCTACAGTTGCAGATAGACTAGCAGCAGGTCTAACTCGTTGAAGACTTCGAATATTCTTGATAGACCATAATCCACATATTGCCATTAACAAAAGTCCAATTGTTGCTTTAAAAAGTGAGCAGTAACTTAAAAAAGAAATGTAAACACTTAATTGGAAGTAACAAATAAATGCATTAGGACCAATTTGTGTAATATTTGCTAAAACTAATATAGGAGCATGCAACAATGTCCAAAATAATGTTCCACCACCAATACATATATAAGCCAAACTACGAGTACTTCGCCGCCGTGTACGAGCATTTGGTGAAGTTATCAAAACTCGATCAACAGAAGCCAAAACTAAATAAACTGGACTTAAATAATTGGATAAAATGGTAGTGTAAAGACGTACACGGCATATAACTATATGGCGTGTACTAAAATCAATGCTATATCCTAAATTCAGTATTGTAGGTAATAATGAAGAATAAATGAACACAAAATTAACAAGATTGTATGCAATAAAATAGATTGAACATGGATTTTTTCTTAGATTCCTTTGATTAAATATAATTAAATTTAATATACAACCGATGGTACCGATAAACATCAACACTGGACTAACAAATTGATATAAATACTTTTGTACCAGTTGCATTGTAGCAAGTATGTCGGTGGACGAAGACATAGTAATATTGAATGTTTGAGGTAGTTAACAAACATACTTTCTCCAGTTTTTGATATAAAAAAAATGAAGTAACGTTCATTCTGTAACTATCGAAGTAATCAGAGATGGAAAGATACTGTTGTTTTGCTCAGGAAATTCATGAGATTATAATAAGGTGTCATGTGTTCAATGAATATTTCTGCATTCTTTTCAATATGAAACAAGTAAGTAAAACTGTCATAAACAGAACAATGATTATCAAAAGAAAGAGGTAAAAGTTATAATGTCAGACGTCAAAAACATTTTATGTAAAGAAAAAGTCGTTGAATCAAAAAAAATGTAATATACACTATTGTTTGTGTGAATCTTGAAATATGTACTAGAGGGCTGTTAGAATACACCCAAAAAGTGTAAAGTGCTTTGCTCTACGAAGACGTGGTAGCAGTCTTTTTTCTATTTTTTATCCATTTCATACTTTTCGCCCCTTTCATACTTTTCAACGACCTTTCATACTTTTCAACGACCTTTCATACTTTTCAAAACTCATAATTTTAATAAATAATAATAATAAATTTTCTATTTCAAAACCTATATTTAATCAATCCATTTATTTTCAAAATATTTTTTTTCTAGCTTGTTTTTTCGATACAAATTCAGTTACAATAGCATCCAAATCAATAGCAAAACTACGTTCAGTTTTTATTAAAGATAAACTTGATAATCTCTCTTGTCCTGTTGTATTGCGAATGTATGTTTTAAGTCTTCTTAATGAAGAAAAACTTCGTTCACATTCGCATGTATTAACTGGAATTGACCACTATAGAAATGAACAATTCGTTTTAATTCATGATCATTTAACAACTCATTTGTTAAAAATAGCTTTTCACATAACACGATTACATGTATTTTATTTTCATTAAATCTTTCTTTAATTGACATAATAATAACATCTAACACAACATAAAAAGAATTATTTCGATAATTATCTTTCACAGATAATGTTGTTGATACAACATCACCACCACCTAAACGTGCAGGAAGTTTTCTTTTTCGGTGTTCATCAGGTTCATCAATATTATTCACTGTACAAATAGCCACAGTTTCATTCCAAATGCGTTCGAATTCATGATCATTTTTCATTGATTCAAGTAAACAAATAGTAATTTTAACTTTAACCAAAGCTTGCGTCAATGACACATCAGATCTTTGTAAAAATTTGGACAGTATATTCGTAATAAGAAAAACTTCACTTATCAAATGAATGTGAAAAACAAAATTAAATGTTTGTAGAACTTTCAACATAATAAGTCCATCACTAACTTCGATTTCTTGTAAAGTAGTTATTATTTCAGCATAACGTGTTAATATGATTTTTAATGATTCAAAACGACATGACCAACGTATATCACAATTTTTTCAATGGAAGTGGTGCTAAATCTGCTTGTTTTTGAATATCTTCAAAAATTTTATGTCGTTTGGGTGGTACTTCAATCAGATTATAAAGTGATTTGATAATACCGAAATTGTTTCTAATAGGTACTACAGCTTCTGATAAATCAACCAAGTATAAATTCAGAATATGTCCATTACAATGAATATATAAAGCAGTGGGTGCAACACATAATAAACGAGATGATACACCTTTATATGCACCGCGCATGGCACTGGCGCCCTCAAAGCTTTGGCCAACAATATTAGTAATATCTAGATCAAGCTGTTTTAACCATTAGATTAACAAATTAAATAAGCTTTCACCAGTTGTGCTGCCTGCTCGTTCAAATCCTACAAAACGCTCATATACATAACTAAAGACACTTGTTCATGACGAGAAATATCAGCTGACTCATCCATTATTATCGAAAAATATGTTGCATTTTTAATTTCGAATATAATTTGGGATAAAATATTTTCTTGAATTAAATTCAGTATTTCATTTTGAATTGAATGATGTGTGTATTTAAAAGACTTTAATTTATTTCTAATTAATTCATTTTCAGTATTCGGAATTCAAGTAATCCAAGAAAATTACCTAAAAAAGAACAAAATGTAATCAGTAGAAAATAGGAATGTACACGGCTGATATATCACATGTGATTTAGTTTTAGATACTAACTCAAACTTCTGCTACAGCAATTATTACCTTTATTTTCTGATTCATCATCTTCCCTGTGACCTCGTAATGCTAATCCTTGTCGAGCAAGAAATATAATTGTTCGAATTAGTTCCTTTAAATACATTCTATTCTCTGAAGTTTGTTTTTCATGCTGTTTATTAATTTGTTTGGCAATATCAGTATTATTTTTATAGTTTTTAACTGCATTTATCCAAAGATTATTTGCATTTCGATGTGATGATGCTACTTGGTGCTTATTGAATTTGATTAAAGCCACCGACCAAGTATCGAAACCATCTACAGTAAAACCTCTTTCAAATCGACCTTCTGAATACGCGAATCGACAAACAAAACAGTAAGCTTTTTTGGTCATCTCACTAAATTCAAACCATTTGTACCGTTCGTACCAACTAAAACAAAAATGACGATGATTAATTGTTGAATATTTTATATTTGGTTGATATGGTCCTAATAATAGAAATTCTTTAGTATGAGCTGGTCCTCGACCTGGATCTCGTTTAAACGAATCATTTTTTATACAATTAGTCAATGGTTCAAAAGTTTCAGCTGTTGATGTTGCTATTAATAAAACTTCATCAGTAAATGTTTCATTAATTTCATTTCGATCATGAGGAGTAGAAGTTGTTGATGAAGACGATGGTACATTATAAGTTGCACCTAATACACTTGTTTCATTTATATTTACAATATCTGAGTTTGTAATTGCACTATGAGATGGTTCACTGGGTAATAGTAAAACATGAAGACACCCACAGACACCCGCAGACAGCCACAAACAGCCACAGACAGCTGCACAGACAGCACACATACAACCACAGACAGCCACAGACAGCTACACAGACATCCATGGATGTCTGTGTATGGATGTCTGTGTTTGGATGTCTGTGTA